ATTGGACTTGCGGTTTTCAACAAGAAGTCGAAAATATCACTTTTTACCAAAAATTACAAAAATATTCACCAAAATTAGAGAATTAAAGATATCATTACAAAATGAACAAATCTGAGAGAGGTCCACATGTAGTACCTATATATGTAATATCAAAGCAATTGCACTTGCGGTTTTCAACAAGAAGTCGAAAATATCACTTTTTACTAAAAATGACAAAAATATTCACCAAAATTAGAGAATTGAAGATATCATCATGAAATGAACAAATCTGAGAGAGGTCTACCCAAGGTACATATACACCAAGTATCAAAGCATTCAGGCTTGTAGTTTTCAAGAAGAAGTCGAAAAAGTAAAACATTGACACGGACGACGACGACGGACAATCACTCATATGATGAGCTCCGCTCGACAAAGTCGACAGCGGAGCTAAAAATGTACAGTTACATTATATGATGCATTTTTCAACAAAAATTTCAAGCTTTAGAGCATACTGCTTAGATTTTGTTAATGATTAGAAGCATTTAGGCCTTGATGTGCATTTATTTTAATCTTGTGATATACATGTACCCAGCCAGGCAATAGTTTATTGCTTAAATAATGGAAACATGAATTATTTAATTCAATTGAAAAACACAACATGTTTTTTTTTTCAAAATTAAAACTAAAGATTCGCATAGTACTTGTCTTGGCCTTTTTTCAAGAAGTTCACTACTTCATCTGGTACACCTTTAGGTACAGTGTGCAAGCTACATGGTATATGTACAACTTCAAATTACCAATTATCAAATCAGTTCAACAAAGATTACTTTCAGATTCCACTCCTATGAGAAGAATCAATGTATGTTGTACAATGGCTTATTTTAAAACTGAATCGTGACAAGAAAACAGTTTGCTTCAAAGAACATACTGAGAATAGACTCACATGTCGCATATTAATTTGATAACTATGAACTCACCTTTCTATAACTGTCCTCTATGGTGGGGTCATATTTCTCCACAAAGATTCCCTGCACAAACTGCACAGTCTGCAAAATAAAACATAAATACATATTTATAATGAGTCACATCCAACCATTTTTAAAAATGACATCAGTATTTTGATAAAAACAAGGTCATTGAAACAAGCTGCTACAGACATGTTCAAATCACTCAAATTTGTGCTTAATAAATTAGCTTAAATTATTAAAAAGGCATTGCGTCAATTTCCTGTTGAATAAGATAACAAGCTTACAAGCGAGTATGGAGCCCTAACAAATATTGGTGGGACACATAAACATAAGTATACAAATACTAAAGGTATACTGTACATGTATGAACAGAAAGACAAAGTCTCCCATTGTGAACTTCACACTTGGGAATTAAAAACTTGTGTAATCACATTGAGTTAGTTTAGAGGTGAAGATTATTGAAACCTGGATGACACTGAGCATTGTAGAGTAACGCTGTCCATTACAGAGTTGAACTGTGATGGCGCCAAACTGAATACTGGGGAAGCATATTTAACACATAAATCAGTTCCATTGTATAACTCATCTTTTCCCTACAGATTTCAATTTAATGTGACAAATGTGTCGGCTGTATATATAGCACAGCCACCACCAATGGCATGTCTCGGTTCTAATCCCTGAAACTTAACATGTATATTTGTATTCATATCCAATTTCCAATTAAATCCAAACCTATGGCCTATTCAGTGCATGATACCAAAAACAATAAAATAATTGCACTAAAAATACCATAGGACAAGATTTATTCTATATCATAATCTCCAGCAATAACATATCACTTAATACTCTTTCTCCTGTGGTTACACTTTTATTGTGACATTCAAAGAAATCAAATCTCTAATTCAAATTTTGCTTTTGTTGTACCAATAGAAATTCTATTTTAGTAATTATGATTTGTGCTGCATATCATTAGCGCCTCATGAATATTCATGAGATTCTTTAAAAAAAAAAGTAAATGAGTAGAATATTAACAGACGTATCTATCTTTATCCATGGGAGATATGTTTTCACACATTGAGCAATGTTCTGTGCTTACTTATATGTCAGCTATTCAAATATAGATGTTATTCTTTACACAGTCTCAACACATTGCCAACCATACATGTGTACTGTAAACTGTATTAATTTCACAGGTTAGTCAAAAACATGAAATGGTGTAGCAGTGAAAATTTCTCTTGGGTGCCAACGACACAAAGTGTCAGCAAATTTTGCAAATGATGATGATTGTTATCGAATCGTGAAAATGCCTAGTAGAAACAGACAGTGTACTGTATGCACAGTCAAACACTGACAAAGTGCAGCCCGTTAACAGACATGGAGTTGCGTCTGTGATTCAGCATTTGTATCAGTTTAAACCAATATTTTATTGAAACTATTATTAACACATCATCTACATCTACCATAAGTATCTTTAGCGATTACAGGCGAGTCAAAAATATATTGTACCATATTTACCATCTATCTTATTTACTGTTTTAGTAACACACAAGTTTACCTAAAAGTAAAAGACAGTTCTATAGCCAAAATAAATCATATTCTAATAATCCATATAATAAATGCATTTTGTATTAAAGGTGTGCTTCTAATATAGTATAAATATGAAGAAGAAAGAAAATTTACAATTATTGAAATACTAGTATTTACTATCACTACTAGTGGATTAGACAAACAGAAATATACACACATAAACTCTGTTCTCAAGGCAAATAACCATGTACCTGTCAAAAATTTAACCAAATTATTATCGATGATGCATTTTCAATTAAAATAAATTTTAAAATGATGAGCTTTGTATATAAATGAATAAAACTTCACCAATCTCAATAGCAGTTATAATTGAATTCCCGCAGAAAAAAAACATGGATACTGTCAGGACATTATCAGCTCACATCAGCCTGTATATGTATCACAGAAACTATGCAGCAGAAGGCAGAATTATAAGTTGGTTCCACTTTAATATTCTGATAAATTTTCTAACAAAACTCATCATAAAGCAATGACGTACAATGGATTAAAACAGGCTATAAAGGCAATGACGCACAGAAATAAAACTACAAAGTAAAGTACAATTATTATACCGGTAGCATAAGGGCACATGTTGAAACATATCATCTAGTAAGTACATGTACGTGAGTATTGTAATTCCCTTGGCAGCATGCAGGCAGCATGCACTTAGGTTGAATATTGTGTTTTTAGAAAAATAACAATTCTAGATCGCCGTGAAACGGCTCCCATGCTAATACCACAGTTACCAGGAAGTCCATGTCATTATCGAAATGGTAGTTTAACATGACAAGTTTTGTTGTTATTTGTTTTAGGGTTTTTGAGTAGGTATTCAGACGTCAAGCAGATGACTCACCACCGTATGAAACACCAGTATTTGATTGGAACTAAAATAACCTATGATAAATCCACTTCAATTTGCTTCAAGTGAGTTTTAATTGCCACATAAGCCATGCATAAAGAATGCATATATATATATATATAAAGCGCAGAACACTTATACCACTATGATTTATCAACAATGTTTTGTTGAACAGGAGAGCACAAAGCCAGCAGCTATTTTTATGATGGGTAGATGTGATAATGGTATACAGTGTATGTATGAAGGTTTGCAAGCATGTATGAAGGTTTGCAAGCGTGTAGAAGTATTAAAAACCACCTACTGTGAAATGCTTTATTTTCACTTGAAATTAATTTTCACTGAAGGAATGATTCAGTGAAAATAAAATACAGCAAATATACCTTTTTACCTATATTTTACATTCAACTTGTCAAAAATAAGAGAAAATAAATTCCATACAAAACACCCAAAATATCTTTTCAGCGGAAATTAATTCCAGCTAAAATTAAGTATTTTACAGTATATTTACCATAAAAAAGCATTATCTGAGGTTTAAATTTATTAGTAATTGCATCCCTTGTTACTTTTAGCCAAAACAGTAATGACCTTTTATTTATCCTTGAAGTTAAATTAAATTTTAGATGTAATAACTACTACAATTAGTAATTAGCAATTCAGATAAGAATTGGAGCAAAATCTTGGTGGTTGTATAGTTTTAGAATCTGTCTAGTGGGCAGCATAACACACTGCTCTGGTCACTTATGCTCCTTACCAAATTATGAAAATAGATAACATTATTGAGATGGTGATTTTATTTGATGATGAAAACTGAACAAATTGATGAAACACTTCAATTGAGAAATTTAAAATGAAACTTACCAGAGCACTTTTGCCAACGCCACCAGAACCGAGGACGACTAGTTTGTATTCGCGCATAGTTGGCAGTTAGAGAGTGGAATGGATAAACTGAAACCTGTAATAAAAGAAAACAGTTAATCACATATACATGTAATATTAATATTTCACATCTAGTTTTCAGACACAATTAAGTTCCTATCAATTTTCCATACAATTTTGAATCAAATAAACAGGGAATAATATTGCTTATGGATTATGATAACAAATTTGTGAAAGTAATAAAGAACCGACAATGCATCATTGTTGTAGTAAAGAAATGAATTTCCAGGGGTTATTTGATTATAAACAGACTTAGTGATAATGCCTGGTACATGTTAAAATGTACTATTACAATGTATATATCATGTATACATGTAGGTCTGTAAGGTATTGGTAACACTGTATTGATCAAGAGTTTTAATAACACATTGTAGATCATGCAAATGAAGGCGAAGCTGACATCAACAGATACACCTTCATCTCCCCGCAAAAATATTAAGCATCTTTGGCGATTACAGGCTAGTCAAAACACCACTAATTTGTAGCTCAAGGTGCCGATTTAATGGCAGTATCAAAACTATCACAGTGGCAGCGTTTTCTCTAGTAGGCAGCAGGCGGCTAATTTAGCTGACTGTTCATAACAAACTAAATGTTTAACCACCTACTTATTCCAAATTTGACCGCATACTTTTTGAACCTCCTATGTGAGCATGTTAATGTGAAATAATTTAATTCAAATTAATGCCAATATTAAATAGTAATTTAAATCTCTTGCAGCAATCAACACAAAACATACTAGGCAATATAAGATAAAATATCCCATGTATAATTTATAACCATTACAAAGAACATCATTCTGGAGAAACTGTTTCATACATTTTCATCGGAAATTGGTAATGCCCGGTTGAGCTATAAAATAGGATGACCTTTGACGACCTTTCTCATCATTAGTTGCATTTCTAGTATTAAGAGGATTGCGGATTTTATACACTGCTCTTCTACGACCTCTATACACTACAAACTGAATCAGTGTCACTGTGGTTCCCATGGATACCACCAAAACATGATAAATTTCCCTAATTATGTGGGACATAATGCAAGGTATACATAGTCACTCTGCACTAATACCTCATGAGATTGTGATGTGTTTTTATCGCAAGCATTCCACGGTCCAACATCCATAGAAGACAGTGCCTTAATTAAGCACCAGCCGACTGGATTTATAGTACAGATAAGTTTCAATTAGCGAAAGGCAGTTTTTAAAATTTTTGCATTGACATTCAAGATTGGGAAAATTTTGAAATGCCATGAAGTGCCATTGTCCATTAGTTAGTGATCACTGTTAAAATTTCACTAGTTGAGAGGGCATCTATCTTTGAGTAAAGTTCAAAGTCCTAGAAATGCATGACATTTTGCAGACTATAGGCAAAATACTGCAATAATAATATTTGATAGAAATAACAATGCACAGCCAAAGCTAAACTGAATTTCCATTTTTTGCTTTTTATACAAACACCTTTTTTTGTAAAAAAAAAAGTCAGGTTTTAATTCAAAGCAATTTAATTATATATTCAAAAAATGCAAAATGCTTTTTTTTTTTCAAATTATGTAACTGCAGTTACACCCCCATGACAATTACTAGAGCCTAGATATGCTTGTACATGTAGGACAGCTATGTATGTTAATAATCATGAAATCAATTCACATGCAAATCAAAATAATGCATATGCACATAGGCTACTTGCTTATGCAAAACACTGATTTCAAAGCTCCTACTTCATCTAAATTTGAGAAAAAATAAAATTTTAATTTAAAATTACATTTTCACAAAATATTTTAAATATTATTGTTGGATGATCAGGTGTTTTCGTAATGTGGGTACTACACAATACAAGTATTGATGCCAGGCCCAACGATTCAAGTTCATAGATTAATTTTTACTCTAGCCAACATAAATTATAACTACAACATGATACTGTAAAATACTTATTAGCTCAAATAAATTTTTGCTGAAAAGACTTTTTGGGTGTTTTGTATGGAATTTGTTTTCACTGATTTTTGATGAAGTATCTCTGCAGCGAAAATAAATTCCAAGTGAAAATAAACTTGAAATTACTCTATGATGGGGAACAATTGGCTAAACTAGATGACAAACAAATACACAGCAGCCATTGTTTCCTATCCCTACCTAAATACTTCATTTTCTACCCTCACATCATCATTAACCTAATTATAAGTAACATAACTAGATTACTGTCATTGCTCAAATTTGTATTTTAATTTTATTAGCAGTATTTTTTCTACCATTCATGCTGGACAGACAGTTGCCCTAAATACTTCGTCACTTGGGGGAAGGAGAGTTGTTGGACCATTTCAAGCTTGTTATCAGACTACTTTGTCAGGCAGGTGAGTACAGATTGTTCACCCACTTATTGCCAATTAATGCCATACTTGTGGTGTCATAAATACCAACTTTGAACAATATCAAAGTGAAGGAAATAAAATATGGTAACTAATTAGGCAACTTGTCAAATGATGATCTTGAATTAAAATATGTTAAATGTGATTATCATCTTATTTGTATAGCGCTGAACACAATTTCAACACAAGCTTATTTCGTATAAATTTAATAATGATAAGACATAAGTATCCAACTACAAATTATTTTAATATTGAAAATCACAAATTGGTTAGCCAGCATAACAACAAGTATGTGAATAGACAGGTGCACAGCTGGTCTACTCACAGTGGGAGAAAGTACAGAGAGCACATGAATAAATTGACATTTTCCACCTGAGTGAGATTTCAATTTTCTGTGAAACGCTACTCTCCAGACTTCCGTAATGAAGAATGAGGAGCAACAACCAGTCACACATGCCTTCTATAAATGAAGGCAAAACGTGCAATCTGCAATCTAACCTGTGTATAGTGACCACTTCATTATAGACAGGATGTGATATCATTATATCATGGAATGTTTTTTTGATGGATTGCAGACTCACTTAGAATATTTAGTGTAATACATGTACGTGTCCAGTAAATGATGAGATGGTACTGTTGCAACAACATTAAAATTGTTTTGAGTTGATTAAAATCAAGCAAGTTCGACTTTATAAACAGAAAGCTCTTTATTAAACATTGCCGAAAGTATGGTTACTATAGACAGGTGGTCTTTATACACAGGTTGCTTATAAGTTATGCCTTAGGACAGCCTAAAAATGGTCACTATAGGCAGGTGGTCTTTATACACTGGTTGCTTATAAGTTATGCCTTGGGACTGCCTAAAAATTGTCACTATAGGCAGGTGGTCTTTATACACAGGTTGCTTACAAGTTATGCCTCAGGACTGCCTAAAAATGGTCACTATAGACAGGCGGTCTTTATACACAGGTTGCTTATAAGTTATGCCTTAGGACTGCCTAAAAATTGTCACTATAGGCAGGTGGTCTTTATACACAGATTGCTCATACATTATGCCTTGGGACTGCCTAAAAATGGTCACTATAGGCAGGTGGTTTTTATACACATATTGCTCATACATTATGCCTTGGGACTGCCTAAAAATGGTCACTATAGGCAGGTGGTTTGACTTTACCGGTAATATGGACAATACACTTTCATGAGGTAGGTTTAAGCGAACTAAGTTTTTGGTAATTATCAGTACCTTGTAGACTCAGGTTTTTGTGAGAATATAATCACTACAGATGGTTAGTTTTTAAGATATACTAGTAATTTCTTAATACAACTAAGTGCTAATCAATCTCTTCATAGAAGTAAACAAAAATCAAAAAATACATTGTGCAATGAACATAGCTAATAAAACTTTTCACTTAAATGAATAAGAAGGGTTACCAAAAACACAGAATATATATTTTATTTGGCCAAAGTAACAGATACAATGTAAGAAAATATGGTACAGACTGTCACTTTATACATGTATGATTTATTACAGAGCTATCAAAGATACAGTGTATTGCATAGAATTTGTTTAATGGCTACATATTACAAATGTATTCCTCATTAATATTTAACTAATTGCCATACAATCGATTCAGATATGATGAGACTATACAGCAGGTGGTCAGCATGCTATAATGTAGACAACTACCTAAATAGAAGAGTAATATAATAAAATGCAAAACATCTAACTGTAAATCCCATAATTATCAGTTAAAGTAGTGGTGGTCATGACATGGTATGCTCAAACTGTGCATGCAAATACATGTAAAGTACACACTGTAAAACATTTTATCTTCTTTTGTATAGAATTTATTTTCATTGATTTCTGACGAGTTAAATGTATAAAAGATATAATATTTGCTGGATTTGATAGCAAAAATTAATTCCAAGTGAAAATAAAAGATTTTACAGTAGTCAATCAATACAAAATTAGAATAAGCCTCATGACATCAACGCCTTTTTAGGTAAAACTGCTTCAAAAATTTTGCGAAAAATTATAAATTTTAATTCATATTTTACTTTACAGACATTATTCTGTCTATAGTGGAGCATATTAAAATTGTTATGAGTGTGGGCGAGTATGATTTTTACATGCAATCATTAGAATGCAATAAACCTGTGATTACGCTTGAACTTTTAAAACGCACTAGAGATACGAAATGACGTGTACGACATCATCAAAACAGACCCATTTGTCAACGTGCAGACACGAGTAATCAATCAACATTGAAGTCGTACGTCACATGCTTATCACTATATTAGATTAAGATTAGTAAAGTGATAATACACCGCTTCCTCCTATACAGTATAATTCAACATACAATAATTGTCTTGTACAACTGGGGAGACTTAGAGTTTTTCTAAATCTACCCATCGGCAGTGCCAAATATGATCATACCGCAAGTGTGGGCGCCATTACTGGGATATGCCGATGACAATTATGGCATATAAGTTACTGTGCTCCTGGTGATTAAAAAAATAAATCAAAATCTGAAATTTACATTTTACCTGAAGCGATGTTTTGGTTAGAGGGGGAAAGAAGTAATGTACGTGTACACATAGTTACCTGTGTTACCTACACGTATTACTGTAAAATCTGTATTAAAAGCCGCGGCT